CAATTCAAAATGTTAATTGTGTTACTGGCTAACTAATCATCACAATTAGAACCACTCAATCGAGATTCGTGACTCGATGTTTCCTACTCAGATGTACGATGTGCGAGTGGATATGTAAGGGGAAAGGGGATCATTATTTTACGTTGAACTATTATGTACATCTACATCTAATAGAGTAAATGCATTGAATACTGAATAATATATTACTGTGCATCACTACGTTTAATTTACAATATTTATTAAATTTAAAAAATAATTCATATATTTTAGAAGTTGACGGAAGACGGTAACGGCCGTAAAATAATGATATTTCTGGAGTTCACCAGGGACAGAGTGCCATGCAACGAGCTCGCTCAAATACTCGATCAATGTGGATACACTGACAAAGCTACCCTGCTACGACTATATAACACGTCGGAAAAGCCCATGACTTATAAATACGAATACCTAGAAGTGATCAAGGCCAATGTTCTACGGTCGGCGCCGGTATTAACCAATAGCTACGAAATGATAGCCAGGCCACGAGGAATTGCCTTGATCGTTTTAAACGACCCTGTTTTAGCTAGCGAGGCCAAAGTGTTTGCGAACATATTCAAGCAACTGGATTTTGTTGTACCGGATATTGAGCAAACTACGGGTTTAACACGCAGGGAGCTAGATGCAATATTAAATGATACGCGCACAAAAGTTAGCGATGAGCATGATGCGTTTATATTTATGTATATCGGTCACGGTTGCAATGAGGGTATTGTGGATGTTGATGGCGAATTATTTTTGACAAAAAATATTATTGATAAGTTTAACAAGAAGGTTTGCCCGGACCTTGGTCAAAAACCTAAGATATTTATTTTCAACTGCTGCCGATCGGGTACTAATTTTGTAGATCTACAATATGTTATGTCTGTTATAAGTTATCATGATTAATATTAATTTAGCATTGACAACTAATTACCCTATATCCAATATGTCTAGTCGATCCGGAACTCAGCAAACGATATAAAATGGCGAATAAGGATGATGAGCTAGCAAATGTTGATAAAGCATGGAAAAATAGCAATCAACGCACAATTGTATTTTACTCTTGCGCTCAAGGTATAAAGCGCAATTTAAAATATCCGAAAATTATATTTCTGACAAAACGTATTGTTTTTGGCATGTCCAGAATTTTAAAAGCTTACTAAAATGTGTAAATTTTAGTAAATTTAATAATGATCCACAACACTAGTATTCTATGATTTACAAATAAGTTACTTTAAAAACAAATTGTTTTAAAAGACGCTACGATAATTTAACAATAATTAAGGCCTCCAGGTTACTTCTAACATCTTAGCCACTAACTAATATTTTTATTTAAAAATAATATTCAATTTGGATCGTAATATGGATATTTATTAAACAGCAAAATAATATTCAAATAAACCTTTAGGTAATGACCAGTATCATTATGGTGGTCACTCCTATTTTGGTAGAGCATTAAGCCATAACATTGCGCAATATTCGTGGTATAAGGACCTTGAAGAAATATTTCATAAGGTAGCTTTGATTATTGTAAATCTAATTATTCACGAGAATCTTGGTTAATCTGGAATTTAAATATCATGTACATTTTATTTCAATGTAGACTATATCCCGTATGGAAGATGATTTTATTGAGACCTTCGGAGATGACTCATTGCACCTAAATCCAGAAATTAGAAAATTCACCTTTAGCAAGCGCTTATATTTTAACCCAGGTTATTTGCATAATGTAAACTAAATATTCTTGGGCACAACGGTCGAGTTGGTTATGTTTGTTATGTCGGGTAAAGTTATTAATCAGGGAGCATTTAGTATTTTTAAAAATATTTGTCGAATAAAACAAAATGTGTTTTTGTTTAAACCTGTTATAAAAGTCATATATTTACGAATTTGTAATAAATTGTATTTACTAGTTATAATTATATTTTATATTGATTCAATTTTGCAAATATAACTAAATTGTCAAGGTTTGAGTTAATTAATAGATTCTGTGAAGTGTCCAAGGTAGAACAATAAATTGAAAAACAATTATATCTTTTACTTCAATCAAAATATCAGATATAAATTATTATTATTTAGAATTTACCCATATTAGCATTTTGATAACATAAAATTAAACTAGCATACTCATTCAATCAATTAATTTATTTATAATGCAAATAGAGTTTGTAAAGTTAATGAACAAGATCAGATATTACATTGACAATATAAAATCCGATTAAATGGTTCAATGTTATCATTAGTGAGTCAGACTTAATACGATATTCATTCAAATTGAATTATGTTTACAAACTCTGCGGGAAATTATTATTGCTTAAGAAGAAATTTCTCGACACGGAAAGTTGGCCATGCTAGTTTAATTTGTATGTGCATAAACTTAATTATATCATTAATAAATATGCATGGTCAAAAAGTGCGAATCCGGCCGATAAGTTGGTCATATTAAGGTCAGTAAGTTGGCTG